GAAATAAGAAAGACAAGGAAGAAAGAGAAGAAAAAGTTTTGGAGTTTCAAAACTAAACCGCGACATTAAAACCCTTTCTTCCGAGAACAGTTACAAGTTACAGCGGCGGCTGAGTGGTAAAGAGTTAGGATGCAAGGCTAGGGCTATCTGGTTCGAGTCCGGTAGCTGATCGTCTCTTTCATTTTTTTCGATTTTAACGCAGTCTCAAGGCAAAAAAGAAAAGCATCATGAGGATGAGAAATTTGGGTGATCAGTGTGAAATTGTCGGTCGAATTCTTGATAAAATCTTTGAGATTTCAAGATTCTAGGTAGAAAAAGCGGAAATTACGTATTTCTAAAGATATTGCAATGAAAAAAATGGCATTGTCAGTTGGCCAGTTGACTATTGTTGAGTTGGCCAGTTGGCCATTGTTGAGTTGGCCAGTTGGCCAGTTGGCCATTATTGAGTTGGCCAGTTGGCCATTGTTGAGTTGGCCAGTTGGCCATTGTTGAGTTGGCCAGTTGGCCAGTTGGCCATTGTTGAGTTGGCCAGTTGGCCATTGTTGAGTTGGCCAGTTGACTATTGTTGAGTTGGCCAGTTGGCCATTATTGAGTTGGCCAGTTGACTATTGTTGAGTTGGCCAGTTGGCCATTGTTGAGTTGGCCAGTTGGCCATTGTTGAGTTGGCCAGTTGACTATTGTTGAGTTGGCCAGTTGGCCATTGTTGAGTTGGCCAGTTGGCCATTGTTGAGTTGGCCAGTTGGCCATTGTTGAGTTGGCCAGTTGACCATTGTTCAGTTGACCAGTTGGCCATTGTTCAGTTGGGCAGTTGGTCATTGTTCAGTTGGCCAGTTGACTTTCCCTTGTCAGTCAAATTTCATTGTGCTAACGATCGATTTCAATTTGAATTTGAATCAGAGAATTGAATCGGCGAATTTCAATCAAAGAACAAAACTAACAATTGAACATTGGAAAACTGGAAGCTAAACCCTTTCTCTCTTTTCTTAGCGTTTTCTGCGTCTGCTTTCTGATAATTTGTCTGATGATGAAGCTGATAACACTTGAAGAAAGCCCTACAAAAGCACCAAAAGTCTCACCTTGTACATGACTTGTGTAAACGACTTTAAGTCGATCCAATCCAATCGCCACAATCACATTTGAGTTCGCATAAAAGCCCAAAGCCGAGAGAAACATGTAAAACTTGCAGCCATAATTCCCAAAGTGCCACTCAACGGTGAAAAGCCAAACGATCTGAAAATTTGGATTCAAGTTTTGGATTCAATTTTAAAGCTTTCTGGTTTTGCTTGGAATGGTTTACTGCTAAGAATTGGATAATTTGACTAAACCATTTCACTTTGGCTGTTAGATTTTGAGGAAAGTTTTTCTTTTCATAATCTTTAAACATTTACAAATCCTACAGTTTTCAAAAAGGCTCGATTTTTCGCTCGATTTTGAAAAGTCTTGCAAAATCTAGTGCACATTTAGCATCAAAATCTAGTGCATATTTAGCAGCAAAGTCTAGTGCATTAGCATCAAAATCTAGTGCACATTTAGCACTAAAATCTAGTGAACATTTAGCACCAAAATCTAGTGAACATTTAACATCAAAATCTGCACATTTAGCACCAAAATCTAGTGCATATTTAGCACCAAGATCTAGTGCCCATTTAGCACCATCTAGTGCACATTTAGCACCAAAATCTAGTACACATTTAACACCAAAATCTAGTGCACATTAAAGATTAAAAGTCGTTTTTAGCATAGAATCTATCGATTTTTCAAAGTTTGATAGGAAAAAGTTGAAAAACTAGCTTTAAAGTTATCTAATTTTTAAATTAGAGTCAATTAGAGTCAATTAAAGTCAATTAAAGTCAATTTTTCTTATTGAATAAAGCTTAAAAGCTTAAAATAAAGCTTTCTTTGCTTAAAAAGAAAGCTTAAAGAAAAAAAAACCCAAAACTTGATTGGGTTTTCAATTGGAATTAATCATAAAAACTCAAATTTCTATTGCCTAAAAAGTTTTAGAATTAATTTTTCTTGTAATTCGTTTTTTTCAATCTCTAACCGGAACTGAAATCCCTCAAATTTTCTTTTAAAGATTGTCCCAGCTTTTCCCAATAAAATGATGAGAGATAAATTGAATTAGAGAAAAGCTTTATGAACAGATTCAATTGATTTGAAAGAAAACATTCTGAAATTCATTTCTGCGAAAACAAATTTCGAAATTCATCGAAATTCTTCTTAACTGAAGCCTTAAGAGTGTAAAATAAAGGCTTTGCTGGCTTGGCTAGCTAAATAACTGGAAAAAGTGAAAGTTGAGCAAGTAAAATGTTCAAATCTAGAAAAGCATCCTTTCTAGTGCACTGGATTCTTTATTTTTATTTCATTTATTTAATTTCTTTTTTATTTAATCAAGAAAACTAAAGAATTAAGTAGCCAGAAAGCGCGCGTTTATCAGCAAAGTCGACTAGCTTGACTGGCTTGGCTAGCTGGCTTGGCTAGCTGGCTTGGCTGACTTGGCTTGGCTAGCTGGCTTGGCTGGCTGGCTTGGCTAGCTGGCTTGGCTAGCTGGCTTGGCTAGCTGGCTTGGCTAGCTGGCTTGGCTAGCTTGCCTGGCTTCCCTGGCTTCCCTGGCTTGGCTAGCTTGGCTGGCTGGGCTAGCTTGGCTGGCTTGGCTGGCTTGGCTGGCTTGGCTAGCTTGGCTGGCTTGGCTAGCTTGCCTAGCTTTGCTGGCTTTGCTGACTTGGTTGTACTTTGTGCTCTAAACGCAAGCCACCTAGCGGATTGGATATTCTCACAAAAAATCCAGATATTTCTATTGAAAATCAAGAACCTAATGCGCTAGAGATCTCGTGTTTAGCACAAAGTAGGTAGGGGCTGTGCGCCAGCCAAGACATTGTTGAGCTTGACTGGCTTGGCTGTACTAAATCAGCCACAAAGTACAATTGAGACTATGAAAAAGCTATTGAAGATTAAATGTGATTAAAACAAACCTTTCCCAATCCGTGAAACAAAATGATGAAATCGGTGACACAAAGGTTTAGCTTGAAGAGGGTGAATGACGTCATATGGTAGGGGCCAGCGAGGAAACTCGTTCGAGCCGTCGGGGTTCTAGAATTTCGATTTTTATTTGAAATTTCACTTTAATCAATTTCCATATAATAAATTTAGATGTGCTTTCTTTTTTGGCATAAATTTTCTTAAAGATCACCGATCAAAACTCCGACAAAATTTCAATTCTTTGAAGTTTACACGGAAAATCGGCAATTTCGGGATTAACAAGTTCGCGAAAAACGTTTTTTTTTGAGATTTTACGTGTTTCCGGTTTAGATACAAGAACTTTGATCAAGCAAAATTCAAGAAATGTATTCAATTTTTAGGCTAAAAAAGCTCTGATAGTAGATTTGATCCAAGAACACTACTGAATTTCAAAATCAGAAAAAACGTGAACTTTAAACGCTTCTAACTTGCTTCAAACTTTCTGATTAACATGATCTATAGCTCAAAAAATAGAGAATCTCAAGAGCTTTTGAATGGAGGAAAGTAAACACGAAAATATTGATTCTAAAGAAAGTTACAGTGGCTTGTAGTCTGACTCACGCAAGTACAGTCCGTCGGACTACAAACCACTGTAACTTTCTTTAGCATTGACATTTTTCTGTCTATTTTCCTCCATTCAAAAGCTCTTGAGATTCTCTATTTTTTGAGCCATAAACTCATACCAATCCGACAAATTTGAAGCAGGTTGAAGCGTTAAAGTTCACGTTTTTTTGATGACACGAACTGTCACACTAAAAACGCTTCTAACTTGCTCCAAACTTTCTGATTGATATGATCTATAGCTCAAAAGATAGAAAATCTCAAGAGCTTTCGAATGGAAGAAAGTAAACAAGAAAATATTGATTCTAAAGAAAGTTACAGTGGCTTGTAGTCTGACTCACGCAAGTGCGGTCCGTCGGACTACAAACCACTGTAACTTTCTTTAGAATTGATATTTTTCTGTCTACTTTCCTCCATTCAAAAGCTCTTGAGCTTATCTATTTTTTGAGCCATAAACCATACCAATCCGACAAATTTGAAGCAAGTTAGAAGCGTTTAAAGTTCACGTTTTTTTGATATGACGAACTGTCACACTAAAAACGCTTCTAACTTGCTCCAAACTTCCTAATTGATATGATCTTTTTTTTCCTGATTTTCAGCTGATTCTTTGACCTTTTTGCCATTCTTCAAATCATACTCGTGATTCATTAACCTCAAAAACTTTCATTGAAAAAAAATTTTCTAAAGATTTACGCGAATTAGAAGAAAAAGATAATCCAATATGTCAAAAAAAAAAAAATTCGAAAATTGAATATCTAGAGGGATTTGTGGGGGAAATTAATAAACAAGAAAACAAAAATCTCAGAAAAGAAAACGTAAAACTAATGAATTACGTGTTTTTGGATTTAGCAAAAAAAAAATGAGCAATTTGAGTAAACAAGATTATAGGGTGTCATTAAAAATGAAGAATTTCGTTCAAATTTTGATACGAATCTATTCATTTTTAGCTATGAGTCAAGTTTATGCAATTTTTTTTGGAAACACACCCTTTCTGGCGCAATTCTTCGTTTTTCTTTGGTTGAGTTACCCAATTTTGAGAAGGCTCAAGAAAATCAAGTACAATGTTAAATCTAGCACGCACTATATAGTTAAAGTTTCATTCTGGAAAGCACACTATTTAATGAAGACGATTCTCGGGGCGCTTTTCCTCATTTTTCTTGGGTTGAGTTACCCAATTTTAAGTAGACCCAAGAAAATCGTGTACAATGTTAAATCTAGCACCCACTATATGGTCAAAGTTTCATTCTGGAACGCACACTATTTAATGAAGACGGTTTTGGGGGCACTTTTCCTCATTTTTCTTTGGTTGAGTTACCCAATTTCGGGAGCAGTGGAGAAACTCGTGTACACTGCTGAATCTTGCTAGATCCCCTAAGCAAAGTTTCATTCTGGAACGCACACTATCTAATGGACACGGTTTTGGGGGCACTTTTCCTTATTTTTCTTTGTTTGAGTTACTCAATTTCAAGAAGACCCAAGAAAATCGTGTACAATGTTAAATCTAGCACCCACTATTTAGTCAAAGTTTCATTCTGGAACGCACACTATTTAATGAAGACGGTTTTGGGGGCACTTTTCCTCATCTTTCTTTCTTTGAGTTACCCAATTTCAAGAAGACCCAAGAAAATCGTGTACGCTGCTGAATCTTGCTAGATCCCCTAAGCAAAGTTTCATTCTGGAACGCACACTATCTAATGGATAGGTTTTTGGATGTACTTTCTCCATTTTCGTATGGTTGAGTTACCCAACTTCAAGAAGACCCAAGAAAATCGTGTACAATGTTAACTCTAGCACGCACTATATAGTATATACTATATAATCCGTATAAAAAAGTTCACAAATCTTGCTTTCAATCATTTCCCAAACATTCCTCACCTTGATGCTCGCAACAATTTCCCAAAAACAATGAGATTTAATAAAATAGCGACTGAAATAGTCACTGACAAGGCGATGATTTCAATATTTTCGATGAATAGCCTCTTTGGTGCACTTTGTGCTGAAGAATTGCCGTTATTTTGCAAAATCTCTTCCAAATCTGTCATCTAATCTGAAATTTGACGTAAGTAAAGCTAGAAAGTAGGTTAAAAATGGATTAATATGTAAAGAATTAAATAAGAATCGATTTAAACAAGAAAACGTCAAAATGAACGTACAAGAAATGAAGGAATGAACGTAAAAGAAAAGAAAAAAAGGAATTGGAAGTGGGAGGAATCAAATAGTCAAAATAAATCAAAATAAATCAAATTTTGCAATAAAATTAGACAAAAATTAATCAAATTCAGGAGAAAACGAGAAAAAAAAGATGAAAATCGGTCAAATTCTTCAGATTCTCAACAAAATTCGATCAAATTTGGCAAGCCAAAGCGAAAATTTCCCAGAAACAACAGGCACACCTTATGAATTTCAGTAAAGTTCAGTAACTAAACCAAAATCTGTGCAATAGGAAGTCTTTGGGGCAATTTTCCTCATTTTTCTTGGGTTGAGTTACCCAATTTCGAGAAGACTCAAGAAAATCGAGTACAATGTTAAATCCAGCACCCACTATATAGTCAAAGTTTCATTCTGGAACGCACACTATTTAATCGATATGGTTTTGGGGCACTTTTCCTTATTTTTCTTTGGTTGAGTTACCCAATTTCGGGAGCAGTGGAGAAACTCGTGTACACTGCTGAATCTTGCTAGATCCCCTAAGCAAAGTTTCATTCTGGAAAGCACACTATTTAATGAAGACGATTCTCGGGGCGCTTTTCCTCATTTTTCTTTGGTTGAGTTACCCAATTTCAAGAAGACCCAAGAAAATCGTGTACAATGTTAAATCTAGCACCCACTATATAGTCAAAGTTTCATTCTGGAACGCACACTATTTAATGAAGACGGTTTTGGGGGCAATTTTCCTCATTTTTCTTTGGTTGAGTTACCCAATTTCGGGAGCACCGGAGAAACTCGGGTAACCTGCTGAATCTAGCTAGGTCCCCTCAGCAAAGTTTCATTCTGGAACGCACACTATTTAATCGATATGGTTTTGGGGCACTTTTCCTTATTTTTCTTTGGTTGAGTTACCCAATTTCGAGAGCACCGGAGAAACTCGTGTACACTGCTGAATCTTGCTAGATCCCTTAAGCAAAGTTTCATTCTGGAACGCACACTATCTAATGGACACGGTTTTGGGGGCACTTTTCCTTATTTTTCTTTGGTTGAGTTACCCAATTTCGAGAGCACCGGAGAAACTCGTGTACACTGCTGAATCTGTGCAATAGGTGACAATCTAAACGTGTAAACAGTCACGATCTGATGCTGCAATCAATTTTCAAATCAAAACACGATTTTTTACATCAAATTCTATAAAATTCATCAAATTCTATAAAATTCATCAAATTCTATAAAATTCATCGAATTTTACATAAAATTTATCGAACTTTCATCAAAAAACCAAATAAAGTCTAGTTTTCCACGAAAATTAGCCAAATCTAAAGCGTTTTCCTTGTTAGATAAATGAAATAGACTTTCATAAATGAAATAGACTTTGAAAAAGTTCAAAAAGAATACTGATTGACTCATAAAGCTAATTGAGAAAAGCGGAAAAATGACGAGACGGCAGAAAAGAGAAAAATAAAGGAAATTTTGTAAAATTAGCCATTAATTGCTTAAAAATTGCAAAATTTCGCTACATTTTGCTACATTTTTGTCTATGATTTCATTTTTTTTTCTATTTTAATCTTTCAAAGCTTTCAAATTAGTCTATATTTTGCCAGTGAATTACTCATTTTCTTAGAAAAGAACGTGAGAATTTTATCTAATTGTTAGCTAACTTTTATACTAAATTTGACTGGGTTTTCAATAAAAAAGTTGAAAGAATTAGGTGATCAAAGAAAAGTTTTCAACAAAATTGTTTATTTAGCTCCAGAATAGCCAGTCGTTTTCTAAAAGACAACATAATTTTCGTAAACTACCGCCATTCAAGCGCCAGTTTCCATCAAATTAGCTCAATTTTTGTAGCATTGACTGAGATTTGTGATTTCTCATCGAATAATAACAAAATTGAGTTGATTAGATGAGAAACTGCTTAAATTACGGTAGCTTTTCTCAGATATTTGCGTTTTAGAAAATGGAGTTAGCCGAGTGAAACGCCTAAAAGGCACCAAAACTACCGTAGTCAAGGCGCCAGTTTCTTTCCGATCAACTCAATTTTTAGGCCATTAAGCCTCGTGCATTCCAGCTTGAATTAACCAAATGAAAACTGGCTGGTTTCTTTGTGGCGTTTTCTAAAACACACCTATTCTTGGAAACTACCGTAATCGACACCGCCAGTTTCTATCCGATCGCCCCAACTTCAATGCCGTTAAGCCTCGTGCATTCCAGCTTGAATTAACCAAATGAAAACTGGCTGGTTTTTGTGAAGCTTTTGCTAAAACGCACCTATTCCGGAAAGCTACCGTAATTGACACCGCCAGTTTCTATCCGAACAACCCAATTTTTATGCCATTCAGTCTTGTGCCATCCAGTTTGGACTGATCTAATGAAAATTGGCGATTCGATTACGGCAGTCTTCCGAAATAGGTGTCTTTTAGGAAAATTTCTTACTCCGGTCACTTTTGATCCTAAAATAGCCTTTTTAAACGCCTCAAACGGGAACTTTATTTTCTTAAATGATTCAGTAGCCTATTAAATTATGGATTTGAGAGAATATTAAGCTATGGATTTTAAAAGCACCCAAAAAAAAGGCTAAAGCTTTCAAAATTCATCTAAAAATCTCAGTCTTGGGCGTTTCCGGGTTTTTTTTAAAGTTAGAAATAGCTTTTTTTAAGCTGAAATAAGCTAATTTGGTTATTTTTTTAAAGAAAAGATTGAATATAGAAGGTTTTCTTTGATTTTAAGTGTGCTAGAAAGTTGTGTTTAGTCATTTTGCGTACACAAAGTACGTTCAAAGAAAGAGCTTTACTTCAAATTTCTGGAAATTCGAAGCGAATCCTTTCTAGCGCACGGAAAAATTCAGTCTAGATTGTCTGGATTACGGTATTCAGTCTAGGTTAGGGTATTCAATTTATATTAGGGTATTTGGTTTAGGTTAGCTGGATAACGGTATTTAGTCTAGAATAGGGTATTCAGTCTAGAATAGGGTATTCAGTCTAGATTAGGGTATTCAGTTCAGATTAGCTGGATTAGGGTATTCAGTCTAGAATAGGGTATTCAGTCTAGAATAGGGTATTCAGTCTAGATTAGGGTATTCAGTCTAGATTAGGGTATTCAGTCTAGAATAGGGTATTCAGTCTAGATTAGGGTATTCAGTTCAGATTAGCTGGATTAGGGTATTCAGTCTAGAATAGGGTATTCAGTCTAGATTAGGGTATTCAGTCTAGATTAGGGTATTCAGTCTAGAATAGGGTATTCAGTCTAGATTAGGGTATTCAGTTCAGATTAGCTGGATTAGGGTATTCAGTCTAGAATAGGGTATTCAGTCTAGATTGTCTGGATTACGGTATTCAGTCTAGATTAAGGTATTCGGTTTATATTACGTGGATTACGGTATTCAGTCTAGATTAGGGTATTCAGTCTAGATTGTCTGGATTACGGTATTCATTCTAGATTAGGGTATTTAGTGCAACATTTTTAACATTTTTCATAGATTTAAACCTGATCATCAAAATTTAATCATCAAAATCCATCAAAAAAATTCGAAACGAAAATTTTTCTATAAACTTTCGAGTTATTAAAGAGGAATTTCGTCAAATAGAGAGAAAAAGGCAGCCAAAAAAAAAGAGCGTTTTCCCGGTAATTAGCGATGAATGCGATCAACTCATCAAAAATTTATTTAAAGAAAGAAAAAAAGAGGAATGAATTCTAACGCGTACTGATGTGAAACTTTCAAAAAAACAATAAAAAACAATAAAAAAATGAATAAAATCAATTAGATTACGGTAAAATTCAACCAAAGAATCCCAATCTACGCAATTTTTGCTTTTTTTTTATTTAAAATTCTGATCTTTCGGAGATTCAATTAGGGAATTTGTCAATTTTTAAAAAAAATTATCCATTTTTTTGAGAGATCGAAGCCCAAAATTCAAAATTAGACGAATTTTTGATGAGTGGAACGCAGTAGAGAACGTTTCTTTTAAGAAAATTTGAAAATTTTCTGGATCCCTTGGGAAAATTGGGCGAAATTTTGAGTCTCAGGCGTTTTTTATGGACTTTGTGAGCAAAAATGTTGAAACGAACCCTTTCTAGTGCTATCATTATCTTCAATTTTCTAGTGAGGAAAGAAATGTGAAAGTGTGAAGTTTTGGTTTTGATTGAGAAAGAAAAGGAAGAAAGAAAAGGATGAAAGGAAAGGAAGAAGGAAAAGGATGAAAGGAAAGGAAGGAAGGAAAGGAAGAAAGAAAAGGAAGAAAGAAAAGGAAGAAGGAAAAGGATGAAAGGAAAGGAAGGAAGGAAAGGAAGGAAGGAAAGGAACGAGGGAAAGGGAAGAAAGAAAAGGAAGAAAGAAAAGGAAGAAAGAAAAGGGAAGAAAGAAAGAAAAGGAAGAAAGAAGAGGGAAGAAAGAAGAGGAAGAAAGAAAAGGAAGAAAGAAAAGGAAGAAAGAAAAGGAAGAAAGAAAAGGAAGAAAGAAAAGGAAGAAAGAAAAGGAAGAAGGAAAAGGATGAAAGGAAAGGAAGGAAGGAAAGGAAGGAAGGAAAGGAACGAGGGAAAGGAGGGAAAGAAAAGGAAGAAAGAAAAGGAAGAAAGAAGAGGAAGAAAGAAGAGGAAGAAAGAAAAGGAAGAAAGAAAAGGATGAAAGAAAAGCTTTTCATTGATTAAAGTTGGGTAAATGAACCGGATGCATAAAAGAAAATATAATAAGCTAAATGCTGTATCAGAATGACACCCGGAGGGGATCTTGAAGAATGAAATGACCTCTAGAAACCCTAGTGACCCCCTGATCCCTTGAAACCTTAACTTTAGACTCCCGCCTTCGATCTGTCCTTTCTCGAAGTCGAAAAGCGTTTTACCTCTTGTCATTACTTAAAATCACTTAATAAAGGAAAGTCAATTGAATTATAAATACCGTAAATGCTGTATTAGAATGGCACCGTCTAATAGAATGACCTTTTCGGATTTCGAGAAAGGACAGATCGATAGCTAATGACCCCCTGACCGCTTGAAATCTTGACTTTAAATCCTCCTTGTCCTCCTTTAGATCCTCCTATGAACAGATCTAGGCTTAAAACCTAATAATATTTTATTGACAGTAAAATTTAAAAGCGTATTTTTGAAAAAAAAAATAGAAAAATAATTTTTTGAAAAAAGGATCCCCAAGATGGAATTTTTTTTGGAGATTCAAAGGGGATGGCGGAACGATAAGCGATTGCCGTCTCACGTCTTGAGATTGGATTAAGTAAGACGTTAATGGATTTAGATTGTACATTGTAAACAGTTAATGGGTTTAAACTGTAGATTGTAAACAGTTAATGGATTTAAATTGTACATTATAAACAGTTAATGAATTTAAACTGTACATTGTAAACAATTAATGGATTTAAACTGTACATTGTAAACTGTACATTTTAAACAGTTAATGGATTTAAACTGTACATTGTAAACAGTTAATGGATTTAAACTGTACATTGTAAACTGTACATTGTAAACTGTACATTGTAAACAGTTAATGGATTTAAACTGTACATTGTAAACAGTTAATGGATTTAAACTGTACATTGTAAACTGTACATTGTAAACTGTACATTGTAAACAGTTAATGGATTTAAACTGTACATTGTAAACTGTACATTGTAAACAGTTAATGGCTTTAAACTGTACATTATAAACAGTTAATGGCTTTAAACTGTACATTATAAACAGTTACTGGATTTAAACTGTACATTGTAAACAGTTAATGGGTTTAAATTGTATTTTCTTTTTCTTTTCTATTTTCTGTAAACATTTTCTTTCTTAGCGCATTGAAAATTTCAATTTTTTCGTGTTTGGGATAAAATTTTGAAGGTTTAGAAGAGGAATAGAGTCAATTTTACCCTCTCATCAATCTCAGTCATTTTTTTTTCGTTAACTTTCCTCTAAAATGGCCGTTTGGGGATTGTTCAGGAAAAGAAAACAAAAGAAAACTCAATTTCTTTTTAAAACAAAACAAAATCTTATTTTATAAAGAAAAAAAAGATTAAAGTCAAAAGCGAGTGAAAAACGGCTGGAGTGCACTAGAAAGCTTGCGTTTAGAGATTTTAGCATAAAGCAGAGTGTTAGCAAAGTACAAATAAAGATTATGAAAAAGAAAATAGACAAGACAAGGAAGGGAAAAGAAAAATAAATATAGAAAGAGAATTTTATTGGAATGAGCTGAAAGTGTTGGTGAAAAGTGGGTTTTTTGAAAAGAAAGGAAAAGGGGAACTCGATTTTAAAAGAGAAAAAAAGAAAAAGGACCTTTTATACGCGCCCCGCCCCTTCGCCATTGGCAATCTAACTTTAAGCTCAAATATCTCGGTGTTCGATGGTCCAATCGAAATAGTTTTTCCACAAATCGATAGAGAAAGACTTAGCGCATCTAATGATACCAAGAATATTGAAATTGGATGCTCCAACGCTGAGATATTTGAGCTTAAAGTTGGATTGCCAATGGCGAAGGGCGGCGTATAAAAGGTCCGTCCCCCCCTTTGCCATTGGCAATCTAACTTTAAGCTCAAATATCTCGGTGTTCGATGGTCCAATTGAAAAAGTTTTTGTAGCAATCGATAGAGAAAGACTTGGCGCATCTAATGATACCAAGAATATTGAAATTCGA